AGTAACTTCCAACGGACTAGGATTCCATAACCTAAGGCTGATTTAGAGGGACCATATGGTAAATAGGTCAAAAGGAAGGGTGGAACAAGGCTACTCTAGACTTGGCCAAACCTGAGCTTTGAGTAGTTCTCTCTGGGGTTCTTGGATGGGGTTGTAATACCATTACTAGATCTATACCCAAAGGAGATCAAAGAAAATGTAATGGACTCATGTGTATAAAAACACTTATAGTAGCTCTTTTTGTGGTGGCAAAAAATTGGAAACTGAGGGGATTCCCATCAAATGGGGAAAGGATGAATGCATTATGGTATATGAATATGATGGGATATGTTTGTACTATAAAAATGATGCAGGGGATGATTTCAGAGAAACATGGGAGGACTTCTATGAATTAATGCAAAGTGAAGTGAGCAGAACCAGGAGAACAATTTGCACACTCACAGTAACATTATGAAAATAATAAACTCTGAATGATTTAGTAACTGCTCCATCCTCCCCTACTCCACTCTCCACTCTTCACCTCCCTTCCCCCCATGCCTCCAATAGTTGCAAGAGAAAAGATGAGGAGTGATTACTCCTCAAGAGTTAAGTTCTTCCTCCATGGCTAGTTTTCTTCTTAACTTCCAGGAAGGAATCCCTTGATTGACAAAGCTCCTCTTGTTTTGACTGACATCTCAGAGAATGTCTTGTATGTAATCTGGCTGGCTTTTTAAGGTTCATTAGAAGTATGACTAATTCTTCAAGTTGCTGATGGTTAACTGCTTTATAGTTCCATCAAGTTATCAGTTTTTCATACTTCCTAAAGTAGTGACTAAATGAAAACACTTCTTTACATTTGCTTTTATAAGTCTAGCAAAGTCTAAAAGAGTTGAATTCTATGAAGCTGCAAATGGACCAAGTCTCACTTTCACAATCATTAAAATCTGTGAATAGACCATTGAGAGTGGGAGTCGTTTGAGTTCTCAAACCCTTTACAGCAGTGGTGTCAAATTCCACTCCATTAATGGGGGGCACTAAATGATACATAGGGATCCCTGATAGCATGTATTGGTTTATAAAACCACATATCATCATCTATGTTTTATTGTATTTTTATTTATTTAATTAAATATTTCCCAGTAATTCCCAATATAATCTGGTTTGGGTCCATTTGAGAGGGTTGTGATCTGTTTGGCAAAAAATCAGGGATACATATGGTCACCAAAAATATTTACCATTGTCAAAAAAAGATGCCAGTTTCAGAGTCCAAACAATCATTAGAGTTTCTATGTATGTCTAGACCCTCCAGATATTCTGGTTTGTGAATAACATTGTGCTCATTGCATCAAACCTCAGAACCATACAGAGCCTCCTTAATGAGATTCACAAATATTTAAGAGTTCAGTAAATCACACAGGAAAAAATAAAATGGATGAAGAATAACTAATGTCCAGGCTACTTTATATAGCTTAATGGAAAGCCCATTGAATTAGCTCATCTATACATATGTCTTGGATGGGCACAGCTAATAAACAGTGATCTGGCCCAGAATTGAATAGGAGGAAGCAAATGAGTTGTATTGCTTTGTTCAAAATGCACAGCTCTACATTGTACAATGATCAATTATGATTAATTTAGTTCTTCTCAGCAATACAATGATCCAAGACAATTCCAGAAGACTCATGATGGAAAATGCTATCCACATCATGAGAAAGAACTGATGGAGGCTAATTGTGGATCAAAGCATACTATTTTCACTTTCTTCATTTGTTTCATGACTTTTTCCATTTCTTCTTTCACAACAAGACTAATGTGGAAATATATTTTTACATGACTGCACATGTATAGCCTATATAAGATTGTTTGCCATCTTGGGGAGGAAAGAAGAGAGGGAGAAAAATTTAGAATGCAAAACCTTATAAAAATAAACATTGAAAATTTTCTTTACATGTAATTGGAAAAAATAAAATACTAAATAAAATAAATAAAAAGAAATGCAAAAACTGTTTCCTTACCAAAAAACAGCCTTAAAACAAATTTTTAAAATTCTGCTGCATTCTGCTACTCTTGGAACACCACAATCTTAAAAAAAAAAATCAACACTACCAATTAAGAGATATGGAGAAATGCAGGAGTTGAAATAGGCTAGAATATATCACCACAGGTAAACTATGCAAGAAATAGCCTGAAAGGTATCATCTATGATGATTGGAAATAGGAGGCTAATCATATAATTAGAATGAGGGGTAACAGGGAGTATGAGTGCTACACTGATATACATGGGATATTAAAAAGACAGGCTCTAAAGGAAGTTCTCTAGTGCATGAGACCAATACTCTATAGATGACTGTAGGAGATGTAGACAAGAGCTACAGAAGATGAAGTGTGGATGTGTTCTGATCAGCCCCACTGGAAGGATTCATTAATGAGACCATGGATCCCCTAAAATATTGGAGTCTCAGTATCTGCAGTATTTCCTTGGACCATTTTAATTTCCTGTTCTGTTCACCACAGCGTCCCTGTTAGACAGGTAAACACACCTACTACATTTCTTAGGTAGGAGACACAGGAGGGCTTCAAGCACCTCTCTCACAAAAGCAGGTTTGCTTTTGATCTGGTCAGACAGGAAGACAGGAATGGAGTCAAAAGAAGGGGTTAAATAAACTTACTTTATTCTCGTCTTGTCTTCTCAAAGGGGGTTTGCTGATAATGGGAACACCAACTCCTAGCATTCTGTAACAACCCTTCTTGCAGAGGTTGTTGTGAAGAGGGAGCAACTACCCTCTGTCTCGATGGGGTCAATTGAGACAGGTACAATTTGTGCACTCCCCTAAATCCCTTCAAATCTCAATGGGGCCCAGTTGAAGCAAACACACAGATTCCCCCTCCCAAGCCTTGATGGGGGCCAATCAAGGTATGCACAGCATTTCAGCTTGTCCATTCACCCTAAGGGGGTCCCCACTCACTGACTAGCGCCCACTTGCTTTATAGGGCAACAGACAAAGAAGGCATATTGCCAGCGATAGGCTCACAATTTTACATTACTTCATCTCTGTAGTTATTGCAACTGTGCAATAGAAACTGTTTTCAACCATAGTTGGTTGAAACTCAGTGGTGAGAACTCATATCTAACACCTGGAAACTAGAGATTGTTATGACTGAATCCTGGGAAGAAAACTCTAATAAAGAATAACAAAAATCCACCTTACACACACTAAAATTCACCTTCTTTACAGTTCCCTTTATGCTTTGTAATTTTGTTGCTACAGCATTAGATTTTGAGACAGAAGATCAACCTAAGCTCTGCTCCTCACTCTGTGCATGACCTTAACCTCCCTGGCCCTCAACGTCCTCGTCTGCAAAATGAGGAGAGCTAGATGACCTCTAATTCCAGTGATGCCCTTCACCTGCCAAACCTATTCCTGATTATTTAACAACCCTCCCAACTACCTCAGAGAAATAGCTTCCCAATAAAACTGAAAAGGACAGAAGAGACACATCACAGGTAAGGCCTCAGGTTTATGTTTCTATAGCAAACTGAATGTTTGGAGAGGCAATCATTTAGAGGGGACCACAGTCAACTAGCTCAAAAAGAATGTTTGTACATGGGACTATAAGTTTAGACATTTATCTAGTCCAATTCTTTCATTTTGTAGATGAGAAAAGTGAAGCCTACAAAGGTTAAGTGACTCACCTTAGTGCAGGTGAAAAACTTGCTGTAAGGAGTAAAGGTGGGATTTGAACCTGTCTCATCTAGCTTCCAAATTTAGCACTCTTTCTACTACTCCATAGTGTATGTGTGGAGGGGGTGGGGGAGGGTTCAGTTTGCTTTGGGGATCGTACCTTTTATTCCTTGAAGAACCTTTGGTTGGGCTAAATTACACGACCTTCAATCCTTCTTTACTGATTGAGGTTCAACTATGGTGGAAAAAGAATGAGAAGGCAGTATATGAAAACAGGCAACAGTCCTCACCATTAAGAGGTGACATACTATCCCTACCATCAGACTATTTTCTTATTATAGTGAGAAAGTAGGAGGAGTCCTAAGAAGGTCAAGAAAACAAAAACTCTGTAGCATTTGTTATGTAGTGCCTCCACATACACACCCTCCCCCACCAAGCCCAGTAGGCATTCAGTGTTCACAAGGACTTATAAATTCTATGTGTGTCTTCCAGATGTGAGAATCCTACGAACAAGGACCCCTGCATAGACTCATTTTTATTCTTTGGGTTTGACGTTAGTCTATGCCCTCTATGTGGAAAACAAATGGCTTATGTAACTAGTGAACTGGGGTGGGGGTGGGGTTCTACACTCATGCAAATTAGGTCTAGCCTTAAATAATTCTTAATAATAACCCTCTGGCTCGTTTTGCTCCTACCTAGAAACTTTGACTAGCAGCTAGGTCCTTGAGTGTGGCTTCTTGACTGAGTCCAAGTTTTACAGAACAAATCCTTTTATTAAGGGTATTTGTTCTGTGAAGTTTGAATTCAGTCAAAGGGCCACATTTGAGGACCTAGAGAGCCACATGTGGCCTTGAGGCTGCAGGTTCCCCACCCCTGTGTCAGTAGCACTGCCTTCACAGCTGGTTCCTGTCCCTCCTGATCACTGCCCTGGAAAGTTCCTTCCTCTTCATCACTGCTCATAGCAGAAGCACCCTGTGGACTTTTTCCCACCATCTGCATTTGGATGTGGGTGTAAAATGAGCTGCTCCTATCCTTTGTAAAGTGCTTAGATATTTAGGCCATGGTTCTATTCCGTGCATGCCCATTTCACTTAGTATAAAACTACCTTTGGAAACATCTACAGGGCTTGGAAGACACCAAAAGAAGATCGACTTTTCCTTCAAGGTGTTTGTCTTTTCTGTAGGCTGAAGGTTTGGCAATGTTGAATACTGAGGGAAACCTAGTGTGAAAACGAAATGTGTATTGAGTTCTATTATGTGCAAAGCATTCCTTTCCTTGCAAGGCTCCCAAATCTTGTATTTATTATTCATTTCCTGTGTTATTGTTCAAGGTTCCATCATGGATATTCTTTCTGAAGGAAATGTCACATTTGCCATTACTCTTCTGAAAAAACTTTGTGAAGAAAAACCACGAAATGTGGTGTTTTCTCCCCCAAGCATCTCGTTTGCCCTGAACATGATCCTGTTGGGAACAAAGAGAGAAACGGCAGCACAGATAGCACAGGTATGTTTACCTATCCCGCCACCTTCACATCCCAAGTGAGTTGGGGAGAGAGCCCTGTGCCTATAGTATGTTTCAAGATTATAAGGGGATAGAGATGTAATGGTCCAGCACATACTGTGCTGACCATCCTGCGATTAGGATTGCAAACAAACAAAAAAGTCAAGTCCAAATATCAAAGAAAAAAAATGGCAAACCCACATGTGGATTTTAGAAAACACTGGTTGATCTTTGAAAAACATCAGAGACAGAACTCTGAAAGTAGATGTTAGAAAAATCTGAAACAAAAACCTACTACAGTGAGTGAGTGAAGGAAAGCCTTTATTACACTTCTCACAAGAGAAGCGGGCACAATGCACTTTAGTAGCACGTGGCCACTGATTCAGTGGTAGAATCAACTTTTAAACCATTAGCAGGATCCATACTCTACCAATCAGGGCTATGATTGGTCTAGTTCATCTGAGTTACACCCTTCCTGGACAGCCCATCATATGTTCATCCATGTTCTGTTAACTCTGCCCACTTCATGGGTCCCATGTTAAAAAATGGCGGCTATTTCCGCGCTTGGGGTGTGTCAGTTCATGTTCAATAAGCTTATTAAGCAAGTGCAGTGGAGAAAAGCCTTCCAGTAGTGAAACATGCAAAATCTTTTCTACCCAATTCCACAACATTTATGTATTTTTATAATAAGATAATAGAATTAGAGATTTCATGTCTTTGGTATTTTCCTCCTGGTTTCTCCTACGAAGAGCGTTATATGACTAAAAGGTAACCCAGTGCTCAAACCCAGTTGCATAAGATTCTTCTCATTGATAGAGATTAATTATTAACTATTCCATGTGTGAATGGGGGTGGAGTTGGCAAGAGGTTGGGAGAGGAAAGATCTTTGCTTTTTGGGTCTCCAACTTTGAGAGAGACCACACACGGTTCCAGACTTTCTTCAGGAAGAGGTCCCTGAAAGGGGAAGACGACTCTGGGAAGAGGAATCGGTGCCTCATTCATGTTCCTGTTCCTAACTTACCTGCGAGAGACTGTGGAATTTTTCCACAGTGAGATTGGAGACTCTTTTTTTTGATTGAACTGAAATGTCTCATTCCCAGTGGGAGAGCTAATTCACTCTGTATGTTGTCCAGTATATTTTAATCTGTATAACTTCTTCCAATATCTATTTGTAATTTGCTTGGATAAATGAATTTATTGGCTATTTATTTTGTTTGATGGTTATTGTGGAACTGGTATTTAGTGGGAAAGGGGCTAAGCCTTTGGATATATAGCTTAGAATACTTCTCTCCCATTAAAGAGAGAGTGGTTTGAACCTGAAAATGATTTCTCCTAAACTAACAATAGTTAGGAGGCCAGATAGATATAATTGTAGTCTGGTACCTTTTCTCTAAGAAGAGAGCAGCAAATCTCATGTTCCTGATCATTTCCCTATCTAGCAGGAATTGGTTTTCCTTGGAGAATGGTGGGCAGAGAAGACTATATTCATGCCTTCTTGAAAGCCACTTCCAGGCAGACTAATGTAGACACACAACCTACATGGATAACACACACAACCTACATTGCTATTCTCTTTCACTTCAAGTTCTCTGTGGGCTCATTCTCTCCACTACTTTTCACCATTTTGTGATGTGATAGTTGTAATCATACATCACTTTCCTCAGTCATATTTTGCAGATGAGCTTATATTTGAAACTGTTATTGTCCTTTGCTTCTTTCTACCTGGCAGTTCATAAGTTGAAAAGAGTTTATTAAGGAATCACTGGTTGAGGTGATTTCTGGGTTCTTTAACTTGTATGTGGCACTGTTTTGCAGCGATTCAACGTCTCTAAGAAATGGTGAGGGAACCAATGTCTTTCCTTTTGTCTGTTTCCCAGAGTTGACCACTTCTTTGAATAGGTTGGACTAGAGCTGCTATAATGTATTTCATAACATTTCAGTTTTATCTTTTCTTCTAATTTGAAGTTAAAATGATGTGGATAGAGAAATGGCCTCAAAGTTAGGAAGTTTGGGGTTCAAACCCTGCCTCTGACACATGCTGGCTGTGGGAATATGGGCAAGTCACTGAACATTTTTCTAAGAGTTCTAGGCAACTCTCAAGACTATGAGTTACAGGGAAGGTACTGACCTGCATTGGTAAAGGAAAGTTACTCACATAGGAGTACTTGATATCAGTAAAATGGTAGTCCCATATTGCCTTCTAATATGGTATTTGTTTTGACTATTTCTAAAAAGGCAGAAATTTTTCTCTAATTCTAAAATGACTACTGTATTGGTAATCAACTTCCTATAAGTTGAGACATAATCAATTTTTTTTCTTTTTCTTTTCTTTTCTTTCTTTTTTTTTTTTTTTGGTGCTGTTCAATGTTTTTCCCATCTAATTTTCTTCTTGAAGAAAGTATTCTTTATATATAGGTATAAAGTTTCTGAGTAGCTTACAAGCCTTTGGGTTCCTCCTTTGCTTGGGTCCCAAACCATGTTTTTGTCTTCTATTCCTGAGCCTATCTTTGCATTGATGTCACTGAGCAGCAAGTCATATGGTTTTTTTTTAAGGCAATTGGGGTTGAGTGACTTCCCCAGGGTCACAAAGCTAGTAAATGTTATATGTCTGAGGTCAGATTTGAACTCGGGCCTTCCTGAATCTAGGGCCAGTGCTCTATCTGCTGCTCCACCTAGCAGCCCCCATATGTTGGTTTTGATGGATATGGTCAACACCTTCATGTAATAGCTCTATTTTTTCACTTTCTGCACTTCACTCATCAATGAATAATAGTCTTTGGAATTAGTCCCCTCAAGCAGGGCACAATGTGAAGTGGACTGAAGAGACCTGCCTATTGGTGCATAAGTTGGTGTTAGCTTCAGGTTCTCTTTTTCTTTTTTTTTTTAATTATTAATTTATTTTTAGTTTTCAGCAATCACTTCCATTATGCTTTGGAGTTTTAAATTTTTCTCGCCCTCCTTCCCCAAGACAGTGTGCAATCTGATATAGGCACTACGTATACATTCCTATTAAACATATTTCCTCAAGAATCATGTTGTAAAGAAGAGTTAGAACCAATAGGAGAAAACAAAACAGAAGGAGAAAAAATAGTAAATAGTATGCTTCAATCTGCATTCAAACTCCATAGTTCTTTCTCTGGATGTGGATAGCATTTTCCATCATGAGACTTTTGGAGATGTCTTAGATCCTTGCATGGCTGAGAAGGACTAAGTCTATCAAAGTTAGTCATCACACAATGTGGCTGTTACTGTGTACAACATTCTCCTGGTTCTGCTCACTTCACTCTGCATCAGTCCATACAAGTCTTTTCAGGTTTTTCTGAAGTGTACCTGCTCATCATTTCTTACAGCACAACAGTATTCCATTACATTTATATACCCCACCTTGTTCAATCCCATCTTCTCCAGCACTTATCATTTTCCTGTTTTGTCATGTTGGCCAATCTGATAGGTGTGATGTGGTACCTCAGAGTTGTTTTGATGTACATTTCTCTAATACAAATATGGAACATTTCACGAATTTGCATATCATCCTTGCACAGGGACCATGCTAATCATCTCTGTATCATTCCAATTTTAGTATATGAGCTGCTGAAGCAAACACAGGGTTCTCTTTTTCATGGTCATAATGAACTATGTAGAATGAGGAGAGCAATTGACTCAGAATATGTATCTTTGTCTTTTGGTTCATGATGAAATCAGTAGCACCAACTCCTCTACTATCTCCTGTCTAAAGTCAGTCCTAGATTTTAACTCTGACTTAAGTGTAACTCTCTTATCTTCTGGTTGTTTTGATGGCAAAAATATCAAGGTAGAGGTGGTTCCGTTTCTCCAGTGGTGTACCAACTTGTTTATCATTAGACAAGGTTTGGTTATTAACTGCAACCACTCCATTAATTCTTGTAGATGATCACAGCAGTGTGATACAAGGGATACAATAGGTTTGGAAGTCCTCTACTCTAACCTATTAATTTAACAAATTAGGCCCCAAAAGAAATGTTTTTTTCCAAAGGTCACATAGGTAGTAATTGTCAGAAAGGGGATTTGAACCAAGGTCCTCCAACTTCAAATCAAGTGATGTCTCTTCTATTGCTTGACTAAAAGTACTGCATAGGACTGAAGGTTATTTTTTTTTATTCATTTTATGGTCATACCATCTGGCAACACCTCTCTTTGCACTTAGAAGCACTGATCATAGGCTCATAGACTGAGAGGTGGAAGGGACTTTAAGGCCCCCATCACACTTAAAATGAGAAAACTGAGGTTCAGAGAGATTAAGTGACTTACCCAGGTTGTTATTGTTGTTCAGTCTCGTCCAACTTTTTGTGACCCCATTTGGAGTTTTCTTGGCAGAGATACTGGAGTGCTTTGCCATTTCCTTTTCCAGCTCATTTTAAGATAATAAAACTGATGGAGAAGATGTGGGAAAATTGGAACACTAATGCATTGTTGGTGGAGTTGTGAACTGATCCAACCATTCTGGAGAGCAATTTGGAACTATTGTCCAAAGGGCTATAAAAATGTGCATAGCCTTTGACCTAGCAATGCTACTTCTAGGACTGTATCCCAAAGGGATCATAAAAAGAGGAAAAGGACTCACATCTATAAAAATATTTATAGCAGTTCTTTCTGTGGTGGCCAAGAATTGGAAATTGAGGGGATGCCCATCAATTAGGGAATGGCTGAACAAGGTGGGGTATATAAATGTAATGGAGTACTGTTGTGCTGTAAGAAATGATGAGAAGGCAGACTTAGGGGAAAAACCTAGAAAGAACCTAGACTGATGCTGAATGAAGTGAGCAGAACCAGGAGAACATCGTACACAGTAACAGCCATGTTGTGATATGACTAACTTTGATAGACTTAGCTCTTCTCAGCAATACAAGGATCTAAGACAACTCCAAAAGACTCACAATGGAAAAAAACTATCCACATCCAGAGAAAGAACTATAGAATCTGAATGCAGATGGAAGCATACTATTTGCTCTCTTTTTCTTTTGTTGTTTTGCTTCTTCTTTCTCATGGTTCCTCCCATTGGTTCTAATTCTTCTTTACATCATGACTAATGTGAAAATATGCTTAATATGAACCTATAAATAGAGCCTGTATCAGAGTGCATGCTGTCCTGGGGAAGGGGGAGGAGACAGAGGGGGAGAAAATTTGAAACTCAATCTTATGGAAGTGAATGTTGAAAACTAAAGATTAATAAATAAATTGTTTAATTAAAAAAAAATGAAGGCTATAGTCTGCAGAACCTTGTAAAAAGCCTGTGTCTATCTGATAGACAAAATGTGGGAAATAAAATTGAAATTATATAAGAAAAAAAAGAAGAAAAAGGTTTTTAAAAAAAAAGTCTTCTGCATGAAACAAAATTATAGTGGAAATGAACAGAGGAAGAAGTGTTTAATAAATTATTGTACAGTTGGGGGAAAAAATGATGAAACTGAGGCAAACAGGATTAAGTGACCTGCCCAGGGTCACACAGCTAGTCAGCATCTGAGGTCAGATTTGAACTGGGATCTTCCTGACTCTAGGCCCAGCACTCGATCCACTGTGCCACTTAACTGCCTAACTTATGCAGGGCCATGCAACTAATAAGTGTCTGAGGAAGGATTCAAACTCGGGTCTTGCCAACTCCAAATAAAGCTCTGATCTGTGGGAAAACCTCTGAAGACTTCCTAGCTTTGAGTAGTACCTCTCAGAGCTTGTACTTAACTGATATAACCTAAAAGAGCTAAGAAAATGTCTGTCTCTCTTTAAGGGTTAGAAGATGCTTTCCTCACAATAGTAATACCAGACAGAGTTTACTTAAAGTAACTTTCCCATAGTCACCTAGCTATTGGGTGGGAGAGCCTGCATTTAAACCTGGGCCTTATGATTCCAGCTCTAAGTGAACTAATTCAGCTTGGTTAGAGCAGAGAACCTCCAATGTGTTTCACAATCTACTCTGGTTAGAGGGAAAAAAATTGGCCTCAAAATCCGTAACTTCATGAGACCAAATCCAATGGAAGTCTGAGTCTGGAGAGCTACTCTCAGCTTTGCCGACAAAATTGCTGTTTCTTTCTGTGCATTTGTGTGCTCTCCAGAATGATGTTAGAGTTGTTCTATCAGTCGTCGGACTGTTTTTTTCCCTTTCTCCCTTGCATAAAAGAGTTTATTGAGCACCTGCCTCCTTCTCAAATACATAATCCTATAGAGTCCTTTCACAATGAACTCATTTTCTCAATAGTCCAAGATCCTATGAAGCATTCACTAGTGAGGTTTGTTTCTGCTAATCATTCTTCAGAGACCAACTGAGAAAGTTAATGTCTTTGTTTTTCTTAGTTACTTTCTTTAAACAGAAGTAAAAATACTTTCTGGGGATTCAGGTCACTTCTTGCTGAAATGAACAAGTCATCCACCTGGTATCTGATTAAAACTACCAACAAGCTCTTTGGAGAAAACACTCTAAATTTCCTCACAGTAAGTCATATATTTCTATTTTATCATGAAGTCATAATGAAGAATGGAAATGAAAATAATTAATGATGAAGAAAATGGGAAGAAAGTCTGAGACTAGACTAGTCCTTTCTCTACCCTACTTCACTGCTTCTATTTAGATACTGTACTGTCTAATAACACAATTTGCATGAACATTGAGAACTTGTGGTTAAGATGTGAATGTAGCCCATTAGGGGAAAAAAAATTTCTTTCCTTTTTCTCTTTGGTTTTCTCCTTCCCTTCCCTCTATTTCACTCGGACTGGATGTGCAGGGGCAAGTCATGGCAGAATCTCTTTCTTTGAGCATAGGAGCTTTAACCTGCTCTCTTTCTAATCTGGGCCAGTTTTCTCCTCCATAGGCAACCTGGTGGCCCTCATTCCTAGAAGTTCACAATTTTGATATTAGACTTAGTGTGGACAGCCCATCTATATTAGCCCTGTTGCAGCTCTGCATTCCCAAGCTCAAGCCATTTACCAGCCTCAGCCTTATTATAGGCACATACCACCATTCCAGTCAAAAAAAAAAGTTTTCTAAATCCTGGGAAATTTTGATGATTGTTTTCAGAAATAAGGATATTGCTCTTTTTTCTTTCTAGTCTCCTAATTGCTAAGAACAAACGAAGGCCCTAGATTAGGATAGCCAAAAACTTGGGAAGAAGTGGTAGCAATTACTATATATTAATCAAGCCTCAACAAATATAAGTACCTACTTTGTATTCAAGACATTACTGTAAAATAAAACTAATGCAAAAGCACTATAAGATTGATTATTTATCCTTGAAAAGTTTACTGCCTCATTTTTGAGATAGACTAACACTCTTGAATTTTTTTTATTTAGTTTTTAGAATAGATTCTGTCTTGAATAGAATGTTTCTTCTCTAGGTTGTTAATGGTATATGAGCAAGGACTAATATGTATTTATTTGCTTATCTGGACCTGTGATTTAATTAGTATAGTGAACTCCCAGATCAGGAAAATCCTTTCTGCTCTGCAGGATGGTACCTTCCGTGCTACTTACAGTCTTAGAGAGTTACCTGGGGCATTGAGAATTAGGGATTTGTCCAGGGTCACATAGCAAATGTGTATGTATGTATAGCATATTCCATATATATATACATATATATATATATATCATAGAAAATGTGAAGAATGTAGAAGGAGGGATGTTGTTCTGACCCTATTTTTTCCTCTTCTAGTCCTTTAGGGACTCCTGTTTCGAATTCTGCAATTCAGTGATGGAAGATGTTTGCTTTTCTCAGGAAACAGAGACTGTCAGGAAACACATAAATGCTTGGGTAGCAGAGAAGACTGAAGGTTATGAATTCTGTCTTTCTGTGTTATCTGTATCTGTCATCTTTTCAGGAAAATTCTTTTCATTTTATTTTTAATTTATGGGCTAAAACATTTTCATAACCTAGTGCAATAAAAAGATGAATGTACTTGAAACTGCAGATCTGCTATGCACAACTTGCTACTCCTTTCAAATATACAACCAATACATCCTGCACATTTTTTTCTTTTTTTCCTCTCCTCCATCCCTACCCCCACCCTGGAGATGGCTACCATTACTACAGAATCTCATTGTTGATGGGCAGCTCAGCAGCTGTCTAGTCCTACCTATACCTTGCCGGTGGTCCCTTCCACAGCAGAATTGACAAGGGATCATCTTCATAAGCATGGAGTGAGCAGGAACATCGTATCCCATAATGCAGCCCATTCCACATTTGGAATGCTATAATCTTTAGGAAGCTGTCATTACAGAGAACCCAAATATATCTGTCTGTGCCTTCTACCCTAGGTTGTCTTGCATTTTTCAGCCACATTACAGTTCTGTCGTGATTTCTGGCCCAATCAGTGATCAAATGCAATGAAGCCTGTGTAGGATGCTAGAAGCGCTACCATAGTTCCCCACTCTATTTAACCATAGTCACCTTTTCAGAAACTGATATTCATGCCTTCCATCCCAGCCAAGTATCCTTTTCCCATTTTCTATTTTTCACTTTTTTTTCCCCACAGTGAGACCTGCTTACATTATTTCTTCTATCAATTTTCATTCACCTAGTCCTTCAGAGTCATTCTTCATTAAGTCCCGTTTAAGTCCCAGCTGATCCTATCCAAACAATTATTGGTTCATCATATTGCACAGATAGTTGCACTTCTCCATTTATTGATGGAGGACTAAAATTCTAGTCTGATACCTCATCACAGCTTTAAAGATGATACTCTTCTGTTTCATGAGCCCCTCATAATTAGGTCCCTCCTAACTTTGCAGTCTTCTTATACCTTATCCCTGGCCACATACTCTTTGGTTCTGTGACACTGCTTCGTTTTTACAAACAAGATACTCTATCTCTCAGATCTAGACATTTCTTTTGGCTGTCTTCTGGTAGCCAGTAAGGCTCTCCCTCCTCATCTCTGCCTATGCCTTCCCTGGCTTCCTTTGAGCTCAAACTAAAATTATATCTTCTATGGAAAGGCTTTCCCAACCCCTTCTAATTCTAGTACCATATTTCTATTAAGCATTTTCTACTTATCTTGTTTGCCTGTTGTCTTGTCCATTAGATTATGAACTCCTTGAGGACAGGGAATATCTTTGGCCTCTTTTTTGTATCTCTAGTACTTGGCACTATACCTGCCACAGAGTAGGTACTTACCAACTGTTTGTTGATTGATTGACCCTTTATTCTTGAAAGTTTTTGGAGTGTGGCACAACATTTCCCAAGATGAAGTACTTGGGGTCTGGGTCCAGTGATAGACTCTAGATTTCTGTGATCCACTGACCAATATAACTAAGTATTGAGAAGTTTATCTCATAAGATTATTCCACCAAATGGCAAAGTTTTTTTGCTTTGCTTATTTGTTTTTTAACCATTGCAACTCATAAATAATCTACAAAGATATGGAAGGATGGTTTCTGTTATCTCCATGGAAGCACATTATTGAGACATTAAATATGCATTTTATTTGTGCACTTTTTTTGTCTCTCATTACTTGATGAAAGATTATTTCCTTGATGGTAGGAATTACATGCTACCAAACCACCAGTAGCCTAGTATAGTGCCATGTACCTTGTAGACGTATAAATGATCTTTTTTTGACAATGAAGAATTTATATTAAGATTATGTTTAATATTAAATTAGTTCAGAAACTTTGAAAACCCGGTGCTCAATCTAGATTCTATTTTGCATAAACCGTGTCAAATGTTATTAAAAAGAATATTTTTTCTGGGGAAAAAAACTAAACCTAATTTCTATTTTTCTTAAAAGGTAATATTTCAGAGGCTCTACCTGATGGTCTTGTTGATCCACTTAGTCTGCTGGTCTTTGTGAATGCCATCAACTTTAAAGCAACCTGGGAGAGGGCATTTGATCCAAAACACACAGATATTGATATTTTAAAAGTCAATCAGGTAGAGTGTGAACATGAATGGGGGGAGTAGAGGAATAGATTTCCAGATACCTTAGAAGTGTCATGAAGAGATAAATTGGAATTAATTACAGTATTCTTCAATTTTAAAAGTACCCATGAATAGTTTATAAATTTGAAAATATTTTAAATGATACCTGTTTGCTTTTCTTCTACCCTTTTCAGTAACCTGGCTTCAATCATAAATCTGTTTGTTTCCTTTAAGCATGAGAGAACAACATTGCAGATTATGAAGAACAAAGAGGAGTTTCTGACATCTCCTTTAGAGGAACTGGGTGGACAGCTATTCATCTTTCCCTACCGTGGAATGGAATTAACCATGATCCTTGTCTTTACTTCTGATAGTGATCTAACTAAGGTAAGGCTGGGTGGATAGAATGGCTATTATATTCTGGCACATCTTCATTCCAGCAATACCTTCCATGGGACACAATTATTACAATAGTCATTGAAAATGACTCCCATTCTGTCATGTTGAATATTCAAATGGTCAGGCATAGTTGGTGGCAAGAAAAGACAGAATGGGTTCCTGAGATAATAAAGCATTTTTTTTTTTTTTTTGCTGAAGCATCATTGGATTTTGAAAGCAACATAAATGTACTTGTTCAAAAAAGAGAAATGATGTTACTGTCATTAAAAGAGGAAATATGTCCTGAGAATTAAGTTACTTTAAGTCATCTGGGGGATGGGGAGAGTAAGGAGGACAGGAAAGATGAGAAAAAGAAGAAAAAAATTAGGAATAATTATGAAGCAGAGATTTGGGTTGCTTGTAGTTGTGTTGGGAAAATGTTTAGTTTTTGATATCTATAACCTGACCCTTTTAAAGTGTCATTATCTGTTTTTAACAAGTATAATCCAAATTTGATATTACCTTCTCATATTAGTAGCAACCTGTATATCTAAGCACCATGCATATCCACTATTTTTCCCAGCTTCCCAATCTAAGTTGATTCTTGTTCTTACTTCCATTCTCCATTCCATGGATATTCCCCTCCTTCCTTCAACCAGCTTTTCACACTGTACCTGCCTTAGATCTATCTTGGTATTCCTTCAGTTGCATATTTCAATGTTCTAACCCCTCTCCTACCTCTGGATTCTCCTGCAAATGAAGCATCGCAGTCTCTTTCCACATGCTTTGTCTGAACGCAAAAGAATTTATTAAGCAGTTAACTAAGTACTATGCTAAACCTGGGGATAAAATACCAAAGAAAGAGTACTAGCCCTCAAGGAATTTATATTTCAGTTTAGAGTAGAAGACCAATCCTTGGCAAAATTATAAATGTTTTTTGTCCACACATGGGTTCCCAAAGTGGGTGATAACATCCCTTGGGGGGTGCTGGAATGATGGGGGCCAGTAGTATCCTCAGGTACAATTGCGGGCTGTTGAATAAAAATAAGGGGGCAGTGGAAGTATAAGGAAAGACGAGAAAATAAGAAAATTTTGAAAAACTGTATGTTTCATCTGTTGTGTAACACATTTAAAGTTGTAGTGATTACGTTATTTTCCAAATAAACACACAAAGGGGCAGCTAGGTGGTGCAGTGGATAGAGCACTGGCCCTGAAGTCAGGAGGACCTGAGTTGAAACCTGGCCTCAGACCAAACATTTGACACTTGTGAACTGTGTGAAGTCACTCAACCCCAATTGCCGAAAAAAAACAAAATACAACCAAATAAACACACAAAATGCAAGGTATAACTGATCAGTGGTGAAGTCCACCAACAGGTCTTAACAAGCAAGTGTTGGCAGGCAAGCTTGTTGACCATTGTCAGAAAATCTAGCATGCTTCAGCAGGAATTTGTTCGTGTAATGACTTGTTTACAGTATAGTACTATACAGTTTCATGAAGCAATATTGCATCATCAAAATTTTAAGTCATGAAAACCACACAAATTTATAATAAATTGTTAAATTTAAGATGCATTATTTTAAATATATATTTTATATGTTTTTGAAATGATACAAATTTTAAAAAAATTAAGGGGTTAAAGAAAGTACATTTCAAGGGGGCACTGAGTACTTTTTTTAAAGGGGGTGGTAGGCCAAATAAGTTTGGGAACCTCTGTCCTAAACTTTTAAAGGCCAGACACCTTCTCATAGCAAGAGGGAATTGTCCCCTCATTTCAAAAACAACCACCTCTTTTTCTTCTTTCAAAGACGGGAACAAAGGTATTATTAATTATTCAGTTGTTGAGTTGATATCTTAACATACGCACACTGTCATGTACCTTTGATCTCTCCTTAGAGAAAAAAAAGTGGCTTTTTCTTGTCACTAAAGGAACTTTGGGAAACAATAAGCAGATGGGAGGATGAGGAAGAAGTGGTTTTGTTTTTTGCTCTATTTTGTTTTGTTTTTCCCCTGAAATCTTTCTAGGCTTTCTCAGTCGACCCTCAGGTTTGCCCTGAGCTAGGTAGTACAATGCTGGGCCTGAAGTCAGAAAGGTCTGAGTTCAAATCTAGCCTCAGATACTTCCTAGCTCTGTGACTCTGAGCAAGTTACTTTACTCTGTGTGCCTCAGTTTCCTCAACTATAAAATGGGAATAATTACAGTACCTACCTACAGGGTTGTTTTGAGGATCAAATGAGAGTGCCTGGAATGTAGTAGGTACTGTATAAACATTTGTTTCTTTCTGTTCCCCTTCCCCCAAGATTAACCTGAATTAGCCCTTTGAAGATGACAAACAAAAAAGAATCCAAAGTAGCCCGAACCAGATGGTATCCTATTCCTTCAAACACAAGTTAGACCTTAACTAGTTTAGTTAAGGTTAGTAGACATTTAGATGTGGCTGTTTCTGTGGGTGAAGAAACGTTATTAGTTTATTCTAGGTCCTGGAGCCCACCCTGAACTAACATAGATCTGTCAGCCAGGTTCCCTTTCCCTAAATCTCCCTTCCTTTCCCAGCCCAAGCATAAAAGGTGAATTCTTCAATATTCTACCTCTAATCTTTTCCTATATTTTCACCTCCCACACCAGAATTTGGCCTTATTTCAGTTGAAGTGTCATGATATTTGTGTGTATATGTGTGTGTGTGTATATATGTATGTTTATATACACACATACATGTGTGTATATAAACACATTTTCATGAAATTATTTGTGCATGTATTTCTGCATGTTCATAACTCCTTCAAGACACTGCAAATGTACATAAACCATAACCTCCTTTATCTGAAACACCTCTACCATTTTTTCTTTCTACCTCCTATAAAGAAGTTGCAAATAAATCATTGGAATGCTTCTCATTTGGTAAAGAGGCAGGAATCTCAATAATCTCAAACAAGCTGGACAGGCCTAGCTGGCTGGCAGAGAATATATAGCTCTAAAGGCTACTTTCATTCCATCCAATCTGTCACCAAATGAAGAACAGAAAACAATGCTGTTTTTATTATACAGATTGAATTTGAAGCAGCAAAGGAAAGGGAATAGAAAGCTAGCCTGGAGCCCAGGAAAACCTGGATTCAAGTCCTGCTGCTAACACAAACTAACTGTGTGATCTGGTATAAGTCATTTAACTTTCCATTGATCTAGGCACCTGTGTGACTATAAATTGTAGAACCAATGCAGGTCATTGAGTATAGGGAATGAGATTTCTCTCTCAAGTGTTTCCTTAACAAAGACATCGCCAGTCCAATTCCTATTGTTCTATCAAAGAACTCTATAAATACTACCTTGTATTTCTTTTATTCATAAAGACTTGCCACTGATTTATCTGGAAAGGCATTAGAAACCATTGAATTTATACTTTGTAGGAAAGGGTTTTAGCCTCTCCATTTTAAGATACCCTTACTGATTTCATCTTGTTTTAAAAAGTGGTAATGGTACTTGTCTAACCCAGGGGAAGTCGCTTGATCTCTCTGGGCCTCAGTTTCCTCATCTGTAAAAGAGAAGGGTTTGCACTAGAGGCTTTCTAAATCTTTAGATCATCTGATCATTTTTTTTAACTATACCTATTATTTCATGGGCAAAGCGAATTCCAATGCAGATCAGCATTTTCTCTGTAATCTGTAGTTTTGGAGAGTTACCTGTGATTACTGAGAGTTTAAGGAACTTGCCCACAGTCAGATTGCCAGTGTGTATCAGAGGCAAGATGAACCCTGGTCCATTCTGAATCCATTTAGCATCCTTTGAGTCCCAAGGAAAATTCTACCTTCTCTAAGAAGTCGTTCAAGTTCCTCTTAATGTCAGTGTCTTGCATCTGTTAATTATCTTCAATTAATCCTGTATATGTCTTGTTTGCACATACTTGTTAGCATGCTGCCTCCCTCCGTTGAACTGTGAGCTCCTTGAGAACAGGAACTGTCTTGGCCTTTCTTTATACCTGCGGCACTTGGCACAGTAACTGGCACATAGCGGATAATAATTACTTCTTGAATAAACATGACCTTTCAGATCTTATGGTTAGATTGAAGAAATCAAGCCAAGAACAGAATCCCCTAAAAGAGAAAATATCAAGTACAAAGCTACTGATAGAGATCCTGATTCAATGCCTCAGAAAGAAGATAAAAGAAAGGCTCATTAACACAAAGCTACAGAATGTATATTATTTTGGGTGATTTGTATACTGAATCCGACCACAGCAATAATAACTACCATTTACAAGTGTTTTAAGTTGGCAAAGTGCTTTACCTATGTTATCTTATTTGATTTTCACAATGACTCGGAGGTAGGTCCTATATTATACCCATTTTACAGATGAATTAAATAAGTCCCAGACAGGTTACATGATTTTGCAAGGGTTGTTATGTCTAAGACACAACTCGGTCTTCCTAACTTCAGTTCCAGCGTGCTATCCACTTACCCTCCTCTTCTGTGCAACACATGATACTTACCAACTGTTAACTAATCTATGATTTGTCAGACTTCAATCCATTGTGTCAAATTCCTTTAGCTTTCTCACCCCCATCCCAGTCGTGTATTATTAACAGGAAATTGTAAAGTGCTTAGACTTTTCTTCAATTCCTCCTCAATTATGTGGTTATAGTTAAAATTAAACCTAATCCCAAAGGTCAGGGAAGAATGTATCTTGGAAGATGAGGTTAGCAGGAAGGAAAGAAAGGAGGAGAGGCTTAAAGCATAGACATTGACTGGCAAACAGACTAAAATTGCAACAGACTCTAGGGAAACAGTTGATTTGTAGCTTCAGTGTGGAAGGAATATGAACATATAGAGTTATGCAGGTAGCAGGATCTTAGGATTTCCAACTTTTGTCTTCCAGTTGGAAAAAGGGCTTACCTATGAAAGATTTCTAACCTGGACAAAGCCAGAAGCAATGGCCTTGATGGAAAATCATGACAAGACATTTTTACTCCCCAAAATCAAGATGGAAGAGACCTGTGACTTGGAGCATGTCCTCTACAGTTTGGGAATGTCAGATGCATTTGATGAGCAAAAGGCTGACTTTTCTGGAATGTTGATGCTCAAACATTTGTATTTATCCAAGGTTTTACATACATCTTGCCTGGAAATCAACGAAGAGGGCATCAAGGCATCTGCTGCCACTATAGCAGCAGAGATACCAGCAGCTTCAAAGAGAGATGAAGAACTAAAGGCTAATGGTTTCTTTCTATTTTTTATCTGGAGCTATAAAACCAAAAGTATCCTGTTCTGTGGCAGAGTTTCCTCTCCTTAAAGAGATGCAGTCACTATCCCCAGAACATTTTCTCTTTTGCTACTTCCCTGACCCTCTCTTCCTAAGATCCATAAAAATGCTATCTGTGTGCATGCAAGCCATAGTAACCTTAGGTAGGAAACAAAAATATGTAAAACACTTTATTGTGAAACTTTGCATATGGACTATGTAACCTTGTAAATTTTCATCCTGACAGGCACTAGGGATAAGGTTAGGAGTGTGAACATTTAGAATGTAAGAGGAAAAGCCTGTACTGGTGTGACCTGGGTAGGAGGGTCTAAGTCTATCAAATAGTCTCTCTTCTTTGTTATGTTCTTACATCTTTAGTATAAGTAGAGGGAATTAGTCAATGATGTTCATTGAGTCCTTGTAGGTTAAGCCATAGACATATTTCTAACAAAAAAAAACACCCTTCCTACCACCTGTACCTTTGTTTTCCTGAGATTAAATAGCAGAACTATACTGTGTGTGACTAAAAGTGCTGTGCTTTTAACAATAAGAAAATGTTTTTGATTTAATGATAGGAGAGGTTACATGGGCAGAAGATTAATACCTGAAAAATTATGACATCTAAATGTGAATTGTAAGAATATACATATTTCTTAGCATTGTACATTGTACCTTTATAAAACTAGATTAGGTTCCAGAGCACATAGAAACTGTAAATTAAATTTAAAAAACATGAAAAAAATAAGTCCAGTTAAATATGAGGGGGAAAAAAAGAAAAGAAAAAAAGGGGTGGGGTGGTAGAAGAAACTAGTCCCTGCCCTAGATAACTTTGCATTGTAATAGGGAAGACAACATGTAAACAATTAGTTAGATAGGAGATATTTACAGGAGGGTCCATGGAAGGGCCTCCAAGAGAAGTCATTTTTTGTGAGAACTAGGAAAGGCCTTATGGAGTGGGTGGAATTTGAGCTGAATCTCAAAAGAAATCTGGGAAAGTAAGAGGTAGAAGTGAAGGGGTAATGTATCCATGTGTGTGAAAGCATAGAGAAGGGAGAGGAAGTGTCATGTTGAAATGAGAATAAGCCAGTGTTATTGGAATATATAGTGCATGGAAGAGCCTAAGGTACATGAAGACTGGAAAGGTACTAAAGGAGCAGGGTATGAATAGCTTTGATAAAACAGACTCGGTGGAGTTCTTTGATGTGGGGAGGTAGTCAGATCTGTTCTATAGAAAAAAAAATATTTGAAGCTGACTAGAGGATGATTTGGAGAGGGGAGAGACTTTAGCTGAGGAGAACAAGTAGAAGACTATTGCCATAGTACAGGAAGGAAATGATGAGGACCTCAATTAGAGTAATGGGTGAATGAATGAAGAGAAGGGGACACAAATATTATGTAAATAAAAATGGTCCTAGGTGACTGCAAAAAATGAGAATCTCTAAAGCAATAAGGAAATGTGGAAGTTGGGTAGATTTTATGAGAAAGATTATGAAGTCGGTTTTTGATGTGCTGAATTTGAGATGTCCAAAAGCCAGAGACGCTGGACTGAAGCTCAGAAGAGAGACTACTAAGGTGGGTACATCTCAGATTATATTACAAAACATTAATCATGAAAATAATATGAAATTTCCTTTAAAAAAGTGAAACCAATCAGTACAACATTAGGTATGAAGTATACAAAATAATATAAATCTAGAAGGCTCGTCTTAAATGAGCAGCCAAGCCCAGATTCACTATTTGACAACTGCTAGGAAAACTGGAAAGCAAACTGGTGAAAAATCATGTAATCTAACATGAACTGCCATGATAAACTTAAAATGGATGCATTTCACTCCAAAAATTTATTAAATAATGACTAAAATAAAATTCTGGAGTGACAATGGGTACCAAAAAGACAGAATAGGAAAAAGGGCGGGAAGGAGAGAGAGTTTTGAAAGGATGGGAGGGAAATAGAAGATGGCAAAAAGAGAAAAAGGGAGGAAAAGAGAGAGGGACAGAAGGAGAGAGAGGGTGGGAGAAAGAGACAGAGATGGAGAAAGAGAGGAAGGGAGGAAATGAGAGGGAGGTTGAAAGAAAAGGAGAGATGGAGGGAGGAAGGATGGAAGTATAGACAGGATGGCAAAGAGAGGAAAGGAGAAAGAGGAAGGGAGAGAGAGGGAAGGAGTGATGGGAGAAGAGAGAGTAGGGGAAGATGACAGAGAAGGAAGGAGAGGTCCAAGGAGACACTGGGAAAGAGAGGGAGGAATCAGAGGGAGAGAAGAGAGAAAGGAAACCTGAAAGGTTCTCATGCTGAACATGAGCCCCCCAGGAGGCTTCCAGCCAGACAGCTATCACCCCGACCAGGTGGCCCGCCTGGCCCCCCTCCATATCTTGCTCGTTCTCCACACCTTAGATGAGGTTGTCCATGAAATGGTGAGCCCTAGGAATATCCAGGAGCTACGATCACTTTACCACTTGTTGAACCCACCCAGGCTACACTCTCAGCCTAACACAGCTCTTACACACAACTTTGCCTTTGGAGGCAAAGCAGTTTGCCTCAGAAGACAGGCAGGATTGCCTAGGCAGTCAGAAAGGGGTGCCTCAGGAGGCAGACAAGTTTGCCTGGGGAGGCAATTTTTCGTGACTGGCCTCAAAAGGCAGAGAAGTTTGCATGGGATGGCAGACAGGATTTCCTCCCCAGCCAGACAGGTTTGCCTAGGCAGGCAGACAAGTTTGCATTGGAATGCAAAGATGTTTGCTTCCAATGGCAAAGAAGTTTGACTCCAGAGGCAGACAAGTTTGCCTCGGGGCAATCTTCTTTGTCCTCTATGGCAAACTAGTCTTCCCCCTGGTCAAACTAGTCTCCCTCCCAAGGCAAACTTGTCTGCCTGACAAAGCAATCCTGACTGCCATCCATGCAAACTTATCTGCCTGCCCAGGCAAACCTCTCTGCCTTCTGAGGACATCCATTGCCCTGAGGCAAACTTGTCTGCCTCCAGAGTCAAATTTCTTTGCCATCCAAGCCAAACATCTTTGCATTCCATGGGAAACTTGTCTGCTTGCCTAGGCAAACTAGTCTGCCTGTGGAGACAAACTAGTCTCCCTCCCGAGGCAAACTTCTCTGCCTGGCCAGGCAATCCTGTCTGCCATCCCATGCAAACTTCTCTGCCTTATGAGGCCATCCTCTGTGATTCCTGAAGCATACTTGTCTGCCTGCAGAGACAAACTTCTTTGCCTTCCCAGGTAAACTTGTCTGCCTGCACAGGGAAACTGCATTGTCTTCTGTAGCAAACTTCTCTGCCTGCCCAGTCACACTAATCTGCCTTCTGAGGCAAACTTCTTTGCCAAACGAGGCAAACGTCTTTGCATTCCATGGCAAACTTGTCTGCCCGCCTAGGCAAACCAGTGGTTTGCCTAGGCGGGCAGACAAGTTTGCATTGGAAGGCAGAGAGGGTGGCCTCATAAGGCAGAGAAGTTTCCCTGAGCAGGCATACAAGTTTGCCTCCACAGGCAGACTAGTTTGCTTAGGCAGGCAGACAAATTTGCCATGGAATGCAAAGATGTTTGCCTTGGATAGCAAAGAAGTTTGACTCTGGAAGAAGACAATTTGCCTCGGGGCAATGGATGGCCTCAGAAGGCAGAGAAGTTTCCCTGGACAGGCAGATAAGTTTTCATGGGATGGCAGACAGGATTACCTCGCCACACAGACAAGTTGCCTTGGGAGGCAAAGAAGTTTGCCTCTGCAGGAAGATAAGTTTGCCTCAAAAGGCAAAGAAGTTGGCCTCAGAAGGCAGACTAGTTTGGGCAGCCAGAGAAGTTTGCCATGGAAAGAAAACAAGTTTGACTCCAGAGGCATACAAGTTTGCCTGGTAAGGCAGACAAGTTTGCCTATGAAGGCAGAAAAATTTGCCTCAGAAGGTTAAGTTTGCCTGGGCAGGCAGACAAGTTTGCATGTGATGGCAGAAAGGACTACCTCACCAGGCAGGGAAGTTTTCCTCCACAGGCAGACTAGTTTGCCTCCGAAGGCACACAAGTTTGCCTCTGGAGGCTGACAAGTTTGCCTCAGGAATCAGAGAGGATGGCCTCATAAGGCAGAGAAGTTTGCCTTGGCAGGCAGACAAGTTTGCCTCTGGAGGCAGACTAGTTTGCCTCCACAGACAGACTAGTTTGCCTAGGCAGGCAGACAAGTTCGCCTATGGAGGCAGAGAAATTAACCTCAGAAAGGAGAAAAGTTTGCCTGAACAGGCATACAAGTTTGCCATGAAAGGCAAAGAAGTTTGCCTCTGAAATCAAAGAAGTTTGACTGAGGAGGCAAAGAAGTTTGCCTCTGCAGGGAGACAAGTTTGCCTCTGCAGACAGACAACTTTGCTTTGGGAGGCAAAGAAGTTTAACTCAGGAGGCAGAAAAGTTTGCTCGGGAGGCAGAGAGGATGGCCTCAAAAGGCTGAGAAGTTTGCCTAGGCAGGCAGACAAGTTTGCCATGGAATGCAAAGATGTTTGCCTTGGATGGCAAAGAATTTTGACTCTGGAGGCAGACAAGTTTGCCTCGGGTCAATGGATGTCCTCAGAAGGCAGAGAAGACTGCCTGTGGAGGCAATATAGTCTACCTCCAGAGGAAAACTTCTCTGCCTGATGAGGCAGTACTGTCTGCCATCCCATGTAAACTTGTCTGCCTTCTGAGGCCATCCATTGCCCCGAGGCAAACTTCTTTGCCTCCCAGGGCTAACTTGTCTGCCTGCCTAGGCAAACTAGTCTGCCTCTGGTGGAAAACCAGTCAGATTCCAGAGGCAAACTTGTCTGCCTGCAGAGGCAAACCTCTTTGCCTCCTCAGTCAACTTCTTTGCTTTCAGAGACAAACGTCTTTGCCTTTCATGGCAAACTTGTCTGCCTGTCCAGGCAAATTTCTCTCCTTTCTGAGGTTAATTTCTCTGCCTCCATAGGCAAACTTGTCTGACTGCCTAGGCAAACCAGTCTGCCTGTGGAGGCAAACTAGTCTGCCTGCAGAGGCAACCTTCTCTGCCTTATGCCATCCTCTCTGATTCCTGAGGCAAACTTCTTTGCCTCCCATGGCTAACTTGTCTGCCTGCCTAGGCAAACTAGTCTGCCTCCTGAGGCAATCTTCTTTGCCTACTGTGGCAAACTAGTCTGCCTGCCTAGTCAAACTCGTCTCCCTCCGGAGGCAAACTTGTCTGTCTGGCTAGGTCTTCCTGTCTGCCAGCCATGCAAACTTGTATGCCTGCTCAGGGAAACTTCTCTGCCTTCTGAGGCCAGCCATTGCCCCGAGGCAAACTTGTGTGCCTCCAGAGTCAAACTTCTTTCAGTCCAAGGCAAGCATGTTTGCATTCCATGGCAAACTTGTCTGCCTGCCCAGGCAAACTTCTATGCCTTTTGAGGCCATCCTCTCTGCCTACCGAGGCAAACTTGTCTGCGTGGTGAGGCAATCCTGT